TCTGGGAAAAGGGAGGCCAAAAGTTGGCTGTGAGTGTGCCACTAAGGGCTTTATCACTAGAGTTATAACCCCGACAAAAGTAAAATTTGAAAACGAGAACAAGATTGAAATATAATGGTTCCTTAAATATTTGACTGAATAAACTTCCTCATGGTATTAAGACAATTCCGCTGACTGGTCAATACTTTCAGAAACCAAACGCTGACTGACCTGAAGGTTTGGCAACAAAACTCAAAACTCGATTTATGAAGTTGCCCAAATTATTCAGCAATTCACTGTTCAGTTTTGCTTGCAAGTCGGCCCATGTAAATAATGTGTCTGATACCTATTTGACCAACAATAAAATAAAAGTTAAACAAGTAAAATAAGCTCCATAGAAAGAAGGATATACATTACAAACCATCACAGAAAAAAACTAAAAATGAAGATGGGTAATCATCAAAGTTACCTCAGGCCTATTAGTTAGCAAGTAGTATCTCCATACTTCAACAGGAATTTTTGTATCTTTTGCATTGTTTCCAAAAACCCCTATGCCTTTACTCTTAGAAAACTTTCCTGCAAAAACCATAAAAATTTAGATCACCTAGTTATAATCAGATTGTGGCAAAATCATTACTAGATAGTCAGCCAACCTGATTCATAATTTAAGTACTCGGTTACACTGATAGTCTTCATCAAAGTCCAATTTTCACCAGTTCCAAGAAGAGTGGAAGGAAACATCACCTAAAGATAAATAAGTATAAAGTTGTAATTCTTTTTTCCAAACAAGAAATACATATACAGTTGAAATTATATCACAAACATGAATAAACAACTGCGAGAAAAGGAAGGCAAACGCCTGAGCTTTGATTTATAATTTCATAGTGGAACCACAGATGCATATATTTGCTTCTTGGAGAAACTTATGAAGCTGTAGAGATCCTAACATTTCAATAATTTCAGAGGGCAATTATACAGAGTATGACTTCCACAATGACGGTAGTGAGCAATGGTGACAGAAATCCCTAAAGTATTGCAGCAAACTATACTTGTAATCAGATATACAACCATACAACTAAGCTAAGGATATACGGTAAAAGATAATCACTATGATGTACTTATGTGTGAGGCATATTTAGAAAACGGTACGTATGTGCGAGGCATTTTAAGAAAACAGTACTTACAAGTGAGGCATATGTAGAAAACTTACTGTGTGGAATGGCACATTATCCTTGCCCATAAACTGATACAACTCCACATTTTCAGGATTCTTCCACCATTTTTCCCAATCATCAGTGTAACATTTAGTAATGGAGACATATCCAATTGGAGCATCAAACCACACGTAGAAAACCTACAAATTGCACAGTTGGGACAAATTTAATAAATTTTGATAATCATTAACAAAAATGCGCAGAAACTTAGTTGCATGTATTAACCTTGTCCCTGAAGTTATCATGTGGAACCGGAACACCCCACTTTAAATCCCTAGTAATACACCGCTGCCTAAGCCCCTCTTTGAGCCATGCATTGGTCGCTTGAATGGCATTCTGGCTCCATGACCCAGCCACTGACATTTCATTGATATATTGTTCCAACTTATCCTTCAGCAGAGGTAGTTCCAGAAACAAGTGGTTTGTATCTCGAATTCGTGGAGTTGACTTACAAACCTGCTTGCAATAGGCAAAAATGAGAAATATAATGGTGCAGCATAATCACATTTTTGTACGCATAATTGTTGCATGTGAACGGGGAGAGTTACTCTCACAAACCCTTATTTATTAAAAAAAAAAAAAATCAGAAAACAAGAAAAATATTACAAGGGCTAAGGTTATAAGCAAGAACAGGGCTTGATTAATACGTGCAAACAATTCATGTTTTTCTTTCAACAAAGTTTGCATATGTAAAGAGTACAAACAACATGGCAAGTACCTTGCACTTAGGATCTTTTAGTTCTGTCGGATTCAAAAGCTTTCCGCAGTTCTCACATTGATCCCCTCGTGCAGAAGCATAGCCACAGCCTTGAGTCGGGCATGTCCCCTCCACAAGCCTGTCCGCTAAGAACCGTTCGCATGTGTCACAGTAAAGCTGAATTACAGTACTAATTCAAGTTAAAATAGAATACAGAAACACTTCTTCAAAACATAACTCAATTGCAATGCATGAAGATAAACGTGTATGCAAAGATTCACCGACTAAACCAAGAAAATGTGAAATAATTGACACAGTCCAGTGACTGCTACGTTGCTACCTGCTGCATTGTGTTCTCTGTAAGCCAATCATTCTCCAACAGTTTCTTAAAAATAGCTTGGCATACTTCTGTTTGCTCTGGTGACGATGTACGCCCAAATTTATCAAAGCTTATGTTAAACCACTCATAAACGTCTCTATGAATTGCATGATATCTACATACAACAATTTGAAATAAGATAAGAGTAAATCAAACACAAAAAATAGAGTTTAAATTTACAAAATTACATAAACTTCACTGAAAAAATTTACTTGTCACAGATTTCTTGGGGGCTACACTTCTCTTCCAAAGCTTTGGTCTCCGTTGCCGTGCCGTACTCATCAGTTCCGCATATGTATAAGGTATTGTATCCCCGGAGACGGCAGTAGCGTGCGTAGACATCGGCACTCAATACACCTGCCCAACAAAACAGAGCAAAACAAAGCAAAACAAAAAAATTTCAGGAGTCTGTTTGGTTCGCAAGGATATTAGAAGGAAAATATAATTAATGAAATGATACATACAGCCGATGATATTGCCGAGATGAGGGACATTATTGACATAAGGCAAGGCACTTGTGATAAGGATGTTTCGCTTGCCAGGGATGGGTAGCTTGGCGACCTTCTGGTCCCCCTTGGAGTTAGCTTTGAGGTCTCCCATGTCCGGCTCTCAACTTCAATGGCTGGCCAGAACCAGGAGCTTAAAAAACTGCAACCCAAGATAAACATAAAATTAAGACTTCTTTTTTTGTACTATTTTCTTATCAGATTTTTTTAGTTTTCAAACAGGGCATACTGCATACTGTATTTGTTACACATTCTACCGATTGACCGAACGGAAAAGCACCTTTAAAAGCACTTCTATGAAATCTGAGAATCTAGAGACACTAAAAATTTATAAAAAGCAAGCACCCAACAATAACAACAACAATAAACCCTTGTCCCACTAAGTGGATCCGGCTATATGAATCCTAAAACGCCACTGCTCGAAATGAATCCTAAAAAGCAAGCACCCAAAAGAACGAAAAAGAGCAGAACTTTGAAACAAAAGGGAAACACTTTTGGTTTTCGAGCTTCGTAGATGCATGAAATTCCCAGTTGCAATCACAGAGTGTCAGAAACATTCAAAAAACAAAAAACAAAAAAGGAAATCAAAACAAAGCAATACTTCAACACCCAATCAAATAATGCATGCAAATAAAAATAGCCCAAATACCAATAAATTTACTCCGATTTTTATCTACATGGAAAACCCTAGTCCGAAATTATACATACATACATACATATATATATATATATATCCAGATAAAAAGTAAAATTCACATGAAAAAAAAAAACTGGATAAAAGAAAGCAAGAGCGAAGAGAAATTGGCTTACCCAGTTGTCCGTACGGTTGCGTTGCGGCTGCGAGAGAGCGAGTGAAACGGGAGCTGCGGCTGAGACAAAGTTTGGTTTAGGTAAGTGTCAAATTTCCACAAAGGTTTTGCTTATTGAATTCTTTTGTTGTGCCAATTTTACCCTTATAAGTGCGCAATTGAAAGTGGACCGAAACGACACACCTCTCGCATGGACAGGGCCACAGAAAAACCTGGTAGAGAAAGAATTGTGGTTCAAAGGAAAATCACGAAACTTAAGTGCTGTTATGGTATTTCTGTACTTTAAAAAAAAATATTTTTGTTGTACGGTAAGAATTAAGTTCATTTTTGTTGCTTGATGTTTTCAGTTTTTTTTTTCATCAAAAACTATGAAAATAAGATGTTTTTAAGTGTTTACCAAACATCTTTTTAAGCTCAGTTTTTTTATACCCATTTTTTATAAAAGAATCTCAGTACCAAACCAGTACTTACACGGGTGGTCTAATAGTTATGCACGAATTTCATACCCGTATTACACATACACATTTTAGGTTCGATTCATGATATTGGTGAATAAAGAAGATTGAAATGCATTTACGACTCTTTCTAACCCTTAAAAAATAAACTGCAATGACAAAGTCACCATATGATTCCTTTTTTTTTTTTAAAGGAAAATCATGGGTGAATGTGGTTCAATCTTTGCTTCAAATTCATTTAATCGAGTGATTTGGTTGATAACAATTATCGAGCTAGAACAGCCTTTACACACTAGAAGTCCTCTTGTAAATTCCCCTGTTTTTACGCAGAAGCTAATCAACATTTCAGTTGCTTGTATTCCTAGGAATTGGAAATTCCCATAGAAGTCAATGGCATTTTCTTATGCAACTTTTAAAACTTCTTGTGTTTTCTTTTCTTGTAGGCTACAAAGCCAAACCAGTATAGAACTGTGTCATTTTGGTGGCTGGTTTGGTGGCTTTTGTCATATTTTTGCCTATGAAGCCGAAACAACTAATAATCAACGGTCAGTTTGGTTCGGTTTTGACCAACACCACATTTGAAACCAAACAAAACCAATCCCTTGTTAATCAGTTTGGTTCGGTCGGTTAAACCTGTTACAACACATCAATACAAGGCAAGTGGCTAATAGCTTAGTGGGTTCTCCCTTCACTTCACATTGGAGGGTTTTCGATGTTAATCCGGTATCACTTAGGCAACAAGTTGCTTCATCTGCTAGCTTGCGTTTCCCTCAACAATATCCTTGTGTGTTTGTGCTTTGCTTTATCTTTCTCCTTCCGTCATTACTTTTTTTTGCATCTGGAAGTGGTGGTCTCAGAGTAGAGAGTTCAAAGCCAGTGACAAATTTCGTAACACAACTTTCTGTCGTGTTAAAACATCGAACGCGCAGTTGCATTGGTTCGCTTTGAGAGAGTTGGGGGAATCGCAATGAACGAATACTAGATAATATCATAATAATCATACGAACAACGATAGCCTTCCGTGAAAATAGTAGTTCACTCGGAAAAATGCGCGAGGAACAGAAGAGTACATAATCCGTAAACACTCACAAACGAACACAAGGAATACCATACGACTTATCCCTGTGTAGAATCAATACTTAAACACCACAACTCACGTTCACATTCCAGCAGCAGACTTAGAGACTTGCTTCAGAGCATTAGCAATCTCATCAGCTTTTGCTTCCTCGCTTACGTAGGCGACCAAAGGGCTCTCGTGAGGAACAATGTCTTCTCTGAGATAGCTTCCTGATGTTCTTAGCAGCTCTTCCGAACCCTTTGCCACCACCCCTTTCATGATTATTGTCTTATGAGTTCCAGATATCATTTCTTCATAATCGGTGTCTCCACTTTCTCCAAGGAACACGTACATGTTGGCGACATTCAATCTCCAACGAACAAAAAGGTACCTAAAAAACCAGGTATAAAAAATGCATGAATCTCGATTTCTAGTATTATAGACACAATAGAACTATCCAATTTAAAAAACTGTCAGCTTGTAGAGGACCTTGTGCGCCAAGTTCTAGATATCAACAATACCTGAGTGCCTGCGCTCGAGAAGCAAGGAGAGGAACAATTTGCATTCTCGTTGAGCTCCTGGAGTACATTGGATGGCAGCGCAGTCCCCGCATCCTGAGTTTCTGCCTCAAATCATCAACTTTCCTTGCCTGCAGAAGCATACATTTTGAATTTAATCAAACGAAATGAACCGAATAATTTCTAAATTGCCATCACTCTAGTTTAGAAAGTTCATCTACCTTACTAGGATCCTTTATGAAGAATGAGATGCAATGTGCGTTGCTTGATTTTAAGTCTTCTTGAATGTGGCTGGAAGAAGCAGAATTTCCTTCGCCTTCAGGGGCATTCAACAGCTTCAAAATTGTTTTCTTTAGACCCTCACAACCCCAACGGTAGTCAATATGTGATGCATAATCTGGATCTGGGGAAAGTCTTCCGCCGCCTTCTGTATAAGTACCAGGGTAGTAAACTTCACTTCCACTGCTACAAACCAACGCGTCAAATTCGTTTGCCTGTATCTTCCCTGATGCCAAAAACTCTACAGTTTCTAACATTGGCATAGCCGTTAATAGAGCAAACCCTGTGACCCTAGCACTTTGAGAGTCTAATCTGACAGCCTTAAATATTTCTTGAACTACCTGAATCATCTTCTTTTTAGGATCTCCAGAGCTTTCGTAGCAATCAAGCGCTATAACAATCAATTTCCGTCTCCTCCTTAACATGGGATATTTACTTGACACATTATCCAGCGGCTTATTTCCGCCATCTTGATCTTTTGGACCGGAATCTGGTTTCTTGATCTTGCTTAGGACACGTTTCACTTGATCTTGCACATCGTGGTCACCAGCGGCAGCAGTCACATCAAAAGATCCGTTCAATGAAGCTTTATCCCCATCAACTGAGAGCCTAAGAGACATATCTTGCACATCCTTAAGAGAATCATTGAGAGACTCATCAGCAGCCATATCATCCTCTGGGGTGTCAGTTTGCCATTGTGGATGTCTCATGCGGCAGCCTGCAACCCTAGTCAAGTAAGTCCGGCAATGTTCAGGCCATGAGTAGAGGTGTATATTCTTCCAGCCATTCTTTCTACATTCACTCCATAAATTCTTCTCCGATAACAACTTAAGAAGTGCACCAGCAATCGACTGCTGATCATGAGGGTCCACAAGCAAACCATTATTCAGCGCCTGAAATGCACAACGTGAAAAGTAACTCGATCATTACAATTGAAATCACTCTCTACTTTCTGTTAGCTCGCAACCTTTTGAATTTCCAGTTAACAGAAGTAGAAAATGAAAATCCACAACTATCTGAATAAATTCACTTCACAACATCTCAAAAGTAACAGATGTATGGAGCACAATCATTGAGTAAAAGATGTAATCTATACCCGATGTATATCAACCGGTCCACCGTTTTTTGTAGCTACCATTGGAAGCCCATGTGCTGCTGCCTAAATCATAGGAAAAAAAAGGTGTATTAAATCGAAAGTCTCACTTTCTGGAGGAAGTAAAGATCGCTTCTAAAGAAAGAAACTAGAAAAAACTAACCTCAATCAAGGTTAGCCCAAAAGGCTCCACTAATGCTGGATTGATGAAAACTCCCTGTCATAATTGAACCCCTTAGCACATAATCTTTGTTAAACAAAAAATTGCTATCTTGAAACTGTGATCATCAAATGAACCTTTGTTTTTGCCGTGAGACGGTATATATCTGGAACATCTGATTGCCTGTGATGCTTTGGATATGCCACTTGCCCATAGAGGTCATACTTATCAATTAGTTTCAAAACTGTCGTAAGAACACTAGCATTTCCGGTAGACATCTCATCTATGCAGTCCCTATTCCCCATTATCAGTGTCTGTTTAAACCATTTTATTAGTATTTAATCCAAATATTTAATTGCACTGTGTAATGGTAAAATTGAACTTTTGTACAAACCCACTTACAAGATTAGCGAGCTCTCTAAGAGGACCGCATTCCCCAAAGGCTTTTAAAAGAGTGGTTAAGTTCTTCTTCGGATCTGGTCTTGACAAAGCCAAGATCATTGGCTTGTGAGGATTTGCAAGGAACCGCATCACCTGCCAAAGTTTGTTGAATATGAGGACAGCAAGCTGGTTAACGTTTAAGTGCACAAACATATGATGGCACAAAGGCACTCACTTCTGACCATATCGTTGGAATTGCTTTCGGGGAAGACCCATCAGTACCACCAAGTTGGTTAAGTTCGCCATCAACCTCAGGTGTATCTTCTTGAACCACAACATTACTGAAGTCCATGCCAGGAGGTATAACCTACATGAAGAATGCACTTAGTTCGCAAAAGAAACATGTGCATTGCTATCATTTACGCAAATTCTCTATTCCTTTTCTAATTGACCAACACTCAGAAAGATCCTTGGTAAGGCAATGCTAGGTATTTAAAAAAACAAAGACAATCATAACTCGTTAGGAATAAAGCCACTAGCTTACCACCATCCTTGGCATGTAACGGCCATGGCAATTTACTCCTCGCCTAGCACGAGCACGCAAAACTTTCTCAAGCTTGACATCAAACCCATCGTAAAGCCCCCATTGCTCTTCGCTCTCTTGTTTTGTACTCGTAATAACTAGTTCTGCAGCATCAAGGGAAAGTTCTTCTGCTTCAATCCTCCTCATAATTTTATATGTAGAATTGATGTCCTCCTTTGATTGGCGTCCCTGCTTAAGAAGCTGTTCAAGCTTGTTTCTTCCAAGTGAGTGCCCAGTTAAAACCATTGGGACATTCAAAGCACCAGAAAGAAGAGCAGCACTATCCCCTGCATCTGCGTAGTGGCCATGAATTACATACGGCCAGACAGGCTGTCCTTTACCAATCTGTTCTCCCAAAACTTTGGACATGTTAAGAATGTGAGCTAGAGCACCATCTACAAATTCTTGAATATATGGCCAGAGTACTTCTTTGCTGAGGTATTGATCACGAGGACCGAAAGGAATTCTGATAATATACGCTCCACTGCTTTCTCCCAGATCACCATCACCATCTTCAGGACCTGCAGTTAGCATCTCTGTTGGCTCACCATAGCTCCAATCAACATCAGGACATGACACTTGGCGCGTAAAGAGATCTACCCTATAAACCCCAGGCATCCTCGCAAGTGCTCGGGAAAGCTCTACCACATATTTGACCTGATAATGTGTTCATAAAGCCATGAAACATAGATGCAAACGCAATTAACGGTATAAAAAAAACGAATTTAGCCTTATTTCCACAGACTAGAAAAATGTTATGACCACCAAATACCTGTCCACCTGTATCAGAGTCTCGACCGAGCTCCATGTTTTCTCCCCGGACCAAACCATGCAAACTGTTGATGAAGAAAAGTTTCAATTAGTGAAAGATTGTATTACAAATTGTAATGGCTGCACAAAGTAAATAGACGATAAACCAGAAACTAAATGATAATTGATGTGTAACGTAAAGAATTATACCTGATAAGAACAATGTAAAGCTTCTTTTCCTTCTTATCGTCTGACCATACTTCCAAGTTCGAAATATTACGCTGGAACCTTTTCCTTGGCGTATCACCTAGTTGCATCTCCCCCAAACCATCCCCTTTCTCTCCTTCGGACAAGTCCTCCGACATGTCTTCAGTTGCATCCCTACGTCCTTGTTCCCGCTCCCATCTGCGGTTTGCCAACCGCTGATGTTCCTCCACCTCCAACTACAAGAGCCATGCAAGTATGAGCTATCGACTTCTCCAAAACTAAAGTGATGGCATTGACAATGTGAGCAGATCACCATCGATCATGAGTTACAAATGGAATTGCCCTTTAAAATTGTACCAACAAAATAATCACCATGACAAATTAACCATTTCAAGACGACACCAAGCCAACAAGACTTCACGCTTTGCGAGAGTCAAGGAAACATTTGTCATAAGCAGTTTTACCTTCGCTTTGTAAAGGAATTGTTTCCACGACTCGAACTCGTAAGAGTAACATTTCCGTTACTCCAAGGCTCGCCCTCTTCAAACTAACCACCTCAAACAACCTAATTGCCACTAATACCAGAATCTAGTCATTTTCACTTGCAAGTCGAAAGCATCACTCACTCGCGAGTTGGATACCTAATTATTCTGGTTGGCTATTGTGAGTACTTTTTCAGTGTACCAAGAACATCGCCATAAAATAATATAATATGACAGTGTTTCGTAACACAATTATTCCCAAATATTCTAAGATCACACACATTTTTATAGAATATCGTCGTGCATAAATAAAATAAAACAAACCTAATCAAAATATCCTCAAAATATAGAAAAATAATTAATAATTAAACACACACGTTGCATTAAACCATTAATTTCTTTCTTATACAAATCAAAGGAGGAGGAAGGGGATTAACAACAAGAACCTGTTTCTTCTTACGGGTAAGGTGCCAAATGCGCCAGCACATATTCTCGAGCCTGGAGCCCCGTTCCCGCGTGTTGCGGGTCGCAACAACCTTGATCCACGTCCGGTAAAGGTCCGACTCATCGACCCCCGTCACCACCTCCTCCACGAAGTACTTGGTCGGATTGAAATGTCCTCTATCTCTCAGATTCTCCGGCACCGGCTTCTGCTCCTCAATGGCGGAGGCGCCGCTGTCCAGTATCGCCTCCAAGTACCCATTAATCCACTCGTTTCCGGCCATTTTCTCGTAAAATGTATTCGATTTGTTTTAATTTACAACTTTCAAAGAGAAAATATGATTGGGTTTCTAAAAACGAAAGCAGAGGAGTCCCATGACATGCAGATATTCTCTTGGTTCTTCTGTGCGTCTTGATATTTTCTCGGACTTCCTATTCTGTGTGACTTTCTCGGGAAACAAACAGAAAATGTTGTGCTGTGTGAAAATAACTCGGCATCAGAGAAGCCTTTTGGGAGTTTGGGATTTGGAATTTGGGATTTGTGAGGAGTTTCGGTTGAGTTTGGAGAGCCCGCGAGAGTGAGAGAGAGAGAGAGAATCGAGAGAGATGGATGCGGAGAGAGAGACACATGGCGTGGAATGGTGGGTCCGGAATGGTGACACGTGTATAGAGATACTGAGGCTCACGAGTGGTCTGCTTCGCACACGTGTCCCCGTGATGGTTGGTTGAGTCACTCCTTTCAAGGTCATCCGCTTCCCAATGCGAAATGACCGCATTGCTTTTCTTCGCCCGAGAGATTTGGAACCAGCTGCCCCGATCGGCTTTCCTCCACGGGAGGGAAGGAGATTTTAAATTTTTTTATTTTTTATTTTTTCAAAAATTTATTTCCAATTTCTTTTCTACAATGATACTTTTTTCACATAATTATATAAGAAAAATTAACGAAAAGTTTAAAAAAATAATAATGAAAAATAACAAATAAAAATGTAGTGAATACTACTATAGAAAGTTAAAAGTATGATTTTTTGTTAAAAGTGAACAATATCTGAGTGTTTCGTTAAAACTCCAAATTATATAATGGTACTTATTTTTGTTTATACGTGAGGAATTTGATTAAGCTACATAACCCAACAAATGATCACAATAATTAAAATCAAACTCATTATCGATGTTGTTGAACTTGAAATTTCTTGCGTATGCGTAAATAAATTTCACTATAATGTAGTACTGATGAAATTGGAAAACAACAAAGTCTGCACTATGAGTGTAGAGAATATTTTTATTTATTTATACAAAGTCATATATTTATACTAAAAGAGTGAGAACTATAGTTAAACAACACAATGAGCTAGTTATTGATAAATTTCTGTCGAATTTGCAATACAATATTTGAATTTAAGCTACCTCACTTACAAGTGAGAAATAATACCACTGAAATATAGCATTAAGTGACAGTTCAAGCTTTAAAGTTAAAAATAACTTTAGATGAGGATGATAATGAAAAAAATAAATAAGCCCAAAAAAGAGCTAACTACATTTGACCTTCAAATTTGAGGTGATTGTCAAAATGGTGATGAATTTCCAATTTTCTCAAATTGCATTTTGAGGTTTTGAAATTGTATCATTTTACACATTTTGTCTTTTTGAATGTATAAGCATGCATTATTTGACGAGTTTTATTTTATTTTATTTTTTGTCAATGTGTTGCAAGTGTGAATTACATGCTAGCCATGTAAGGATCTCAAGTTCACCATGCCATGAATTTAATGAATTAGCGTAAAAAAAAATCATACAAAGGCACAAACTAATATAAGTGTAAGAGATACTTTGAGATGGCACAAACTGATATAATTATAAGAGATACTTTGAGATGCAACGAGAGAAAATTGAAACTTTGTGGTCCTATTTTGAAATTACTTATACTGTGCATTTGATGTAGAAGTATGTGGCAGGAAAAGAAAAACTCTTCCACCTAGTGGTAACCACTATCAACCAACTTTATATCTGCAAAAACTTTAGCTTAAATTGTTCAATCCTTTTTCAAACTGCAGGTAAATAATTATACTACCTTCCCAAACTCCCCACATTATTTGTAGCACGACCACAAACTGAATGATCAGCATTCAAACAAATATAGTTGGCAATGCATGCACATCCAGACACACTAGCATGTATTTCATTTTTGCCTTCCTTATCAACCATACTATTACATACAACAAATTCATCATCATGTGATGTTCCGATCCACTAAAACAATGACATGTGTTAAAAAAAATTACACATATAATTGATTTACTACAACGGAACATCACGGTAACGTTAAATTCGTTTCATATAATTCCAACTCGCAGACACTAAAACTAATCACTTAAATAAAGTTGTGTTTACCAACTAAATTACTGAAAGAATTGAGCCTATCAGTATCAAATGGTCCTCTATCAGATGTTTATGTACGTAACTTGTTCGTAAGTAAGGAAAACGAAACTCTTTTTAGAGGGTGCTTAATTCGTTCATGTGTTGGTGAGAGTCATTCTCTCTGACTGAGAGCTTTTCTATTAAACCCCACCCCCAAATAAATGTAATTTCTTAATTTTTCCCTAGAGTTTTATAAAAGTTTACAATTTGGTCCCTTACTATTCTACCCAATCCAGATCTATTTTACAGATTTTCTCTCAAAATCTCTCCACTCACTGTTTGCCACATGGCAAACACTCCCCTATCTTCTCTCTTTCTCCCCGGGGTCTCTTAACTCACTCTTCTCTCTCACACTCTCATCTCACTGTCGAATCTCTCTCTCAACTCACCCACCATCTTCACTCCAGCGAGACACGCACATCTACACACCCCAAAACATCCCAACAACAACGACAGCACCATCACCATCACCGTGCTAACTTTCTCTCCCCCTCGCCTCTGTGCAACAAAGAGAATTTAGCAAACTTATCCGGCAAACCCGTGGCCTTCGAGGCGTTTTCCGGCCACCACTCGTTGTGAAACATGTACCAATCTCTTCCCCTATCTCATATCTTCAATGTTAAGGGTAAATCGTAGGTTAAAATGGTGTGATGCTGTCGACAGGAGCACATGAGCCCTCAAGCCCAAAACCCATTAAGCCAAGGCCTTTGGGCCGAGAAATCTAGGGCATTTGGCATGCTAAACCTTTAGCCCAAGACCAAAGGGCTTCAGCCCGTAAGCCTTAAACCCAAACCCAGTTATCTTAAAACCCCTAAAACTAGGCCTTGGGTCTGGCTTTCAAGCCCAAAGCCCTTTGACCCACAACCTAGGGCCTTCGACCCACTAAGCCAACCTAATCAAACCTTTGGGTCAGACTATCAAGCCCAGACCCATTGAACCTAAACCATAGCCCATTGAACCGGTCCAACCCAAAACCTTTGATTGGCCCATGATCAATTGACCCAACCTGTTGACTTTGACTTCGATCGGTTAATGATCAACGTCGACTTTTGTTGACTTTTTTTTTCAGGTTTCGTTCGGGACCCCTCCTAGACTAATTTCGACATCCTGGACTTGTTTTTAATGTCCGTTTACCCAAATTCAATCGTTTGAATAGAGCTTTATTAATTGAACACTTTATGTGCTTAAGTGCAATTATTAGCGACAATTCCGTTATTCCTATTTTGTACGGCTCTTCGACGACTAAATATATGTGAGTGGACCCCTTCTAAAATGCATGTTTTAATTATAGAAATGTATACATGAAAAACATGATTTAATGATTACGTTTTATGAAATGTTTTATGAGATATTATGCTTACTACAAATATTTTGGAATATCATGTTCTATCGAACTTATGTTCTTTGTAGTATATATGATGGATGACTATATACTATTTAGAACATGCTTTTACAACACTTCTTTATAGTATATATGATGGATGACTATATGCTATGAAGATGATTTTGAGATATATATATGTATTTATGTTGGAAAGACTATATTCAATATTTTTGTGCGTATTTAGTGGTCACTGTTTTGCCTTGGCTTTGGCCGGGTGTAGGTTGGTGCCTGTTTGGCAAATGATACTTATATTGGCTACGACCGGGTGTAGGTAGGTGCATGTTTGGCAAAGGATATTTATACTGGCTTCGACCGGGCGTAGGTTGGTGCCTGTTTGGCAAATGAAGTGTTCTGAAAGAAGTGTTCTAAATGAAGAGTTCTCTATGCCTTTGGGCGATACTGATACCACTAGTTAGCACCTTATATATATGATATGCTTATTGAAAGATTTTTATGGCATGCTAGGGTTTTTGGAAAACGTATTACATATTATACTACTGATGTTTTTATGAAACTTTAGGGTTTAATATGTTGATAACTATTTCAATATTATGTATATATCAACTTGGTCCACTAATGTTTGTTTTGCGCCCCCTCAGGACATAGGAAAGAGGATTACGACCCACATTACGAGGCCTTTCCCTACCAGTGATATTGTGCCATCATCTATGCTTGACATCATTGTAATAACACCTTATGTTGTATTTTGAATTAGATGTATGCTATGAACATGTCATGCATTATCAATGTGTTTTCATTGTTGGCAGTTGAATATTATTTATATCATTATCTTCACGCAGAAATGAATAGTCACATCCTATTATCTTGCTACATTTCATAAATGAAATGTATACGCATGATTTACATGTTCTCAGCATGTGCATTCATTAAATGGCTTGCATCACCTTCGGGTGTCGGCCAGGACGTGACCATTTCGATGTCCCTTGGATATCGGGATCGGGGCGTGTCATTTTCTCATAGCTTATGTGAGGGTTTTCCAGTTCAATTTTCCGTGCAATGCCCTTAGCTATAGCCATGGTTGATAGCCGTCTCTTCCTTTTTCTTTTTGTTTTTCCTTTCCTTACTTTCTCTTACTGTTGTCCCTCTGCTATCCATCCCAACCACCCCACAAGCCATTGATCTTACTCGACTATGTCCTCAAATTCTTTTTCTTTTCTCTAATTATTGGTATCCCTCCATTTTCACGTCCCTTGTCTATCCTTTGCATTTCTGATCACTCTTTTCACCCGCACCAATTTCATACCAAATTGGTTTGCAATCACTTTTAACTATAATCTGTTGCAGTCCATTGGGAAGGTGTGTAGAGTTATGGTGTTCACACCAGCTCAAGTATTTGCACCACCACTTTCTTTCAGTCTGCCTTTGTTGGCAATGTCGCTTGTGGGATTCCCACTAGCTTATGCAGCGATCAGAAAGGTATTCCTTGCTAGGTGATGGAGTCCCCTCCTTCCATCTTTGAGGAGGTGTTTGCTTGGATTTCTGACGTTCAAATTTGTGGATGTAAATTTCCACCTTCTTCTTCTTGGACAAAATTGCACCTATAAAACAATTAACACCTTAGGTCAAGGCCAAGAACCTCACGCGCCCACGATGAATTAGGGGGACTTTGGCCAAAGAACCTCTGATGCCAAAGTTAGAATTTAAAGAGTTTTTGGGAGTTTTGCAAGAGTATGAGAGGTCCCTTTTGGAAAAGAGAATAGAGCTTTTATAGGGGAGTGTGGCCGGCCTTTAAGTGTTTTTTGGGGTGTTATTTGGTGATTCAATTAGCAATTAATATATTAATTTGGTATAAATATATTAATTGGCTAATTATCATAATAAAAAAATGTTTTGGGAGGTTATGTAATGATTTCCTTGTAGAGGATATGGAGTAAAGATGGATGAGATAAATTTGAACTTGTTACTTATTTTGGGCACTCTTGACTCGGTTGATGGATGATTCTCCACTGCTCGCGTGTAGGAAACCCGGTGTGTCTCGAGGGCAATTTTGTCTTCTTCACCTAAAAATCCACATGTCGCTTCTTGATTATTTTTTGCTCCACAAATGCCCCCACACCTGCTGGGCTGCTCGTAGGAAAGGGCAGCAAGTGTAGAGATCTTTTCGCTTTAGGACTACTTCATATTTTGATGTAGATTCCCTCTTTAATATGAAATTAGATCATTCTAGGAAAGGGAAATAAATTTCTCTCAAAGCCTATTTAAGCCCACCTTAAGTGGGTTGTTAAATCAACTTTGGATAGCGATTTATTCAACCCTACAAGAGAGGGAAGGCTCAGAGGATATTTGTCCCCCTCCCCTAGCAATCTTCTACACTTGCCCATGCAAAGGACCATCTTTCGTTACTTTCTTCGTCTTCTCCGCGTCGCACCGATGTAAGGAAAACTTAATTCTCCTTGTCTTCTTCTTGGGAGGTGCTGCCACGGGGCAACCATCGGGGTGGTGCGGCACATCGGCTGGCAGGGGCCAGGAGTCGGCTTGATTGAAGCCAAAGATTAACTCGGCATAGGTCGAGGAAGTGGCGTGGCAGGGGCAACGGTTTAGGCTGCCATGTCTGGGCTGCTTGCCAAAAATAAGGAAACTGTTTGAGTTTGATTTCTCAGCTGCCAAAGATGGAGCAATCAAGGATAAAGCTACCAAGATCGGAGCTGCTGAAGATGAAGTATCGGATGAGTGAACTATTAAGTGCAAAAGTGGCTGATGCCCCTAACCATTTGTTGCCTAGTCGATCTTCAAGCATTCGATCTTTTAAGCTATGTGGCCTTCTCGCACTGGAGAGCTTACCCAGATGGGTGTTGGGGAATTACTTTACCCTCTCGCATTGGAGAGCAATTAGTTTACCTTCTCGCGCTGGAGAGCAATTAGTTTACCCTCTCACACTGAAGAGCAATTAGTTTATCCTCTCACACTGGAGAGCGGACCTATATGGGTGTCGGGGAATTGGTTTACCCTATCTCATTGGAGAGCAATTAGTTTATCCTCTCGCATTGGAGAGCAGACCCATATGGGTGTCGAGGAATTAGTTTACCCTCTCGCACTGGAGAACAATTAGTTTATCCTCTCGCACTGGAGAGCATGGAAATCATTGTCGTGAGTGCAGCTGAGAAAAGTTGGACTGCTGGGACAACCGAAATAGTCCTTAGCATGCCCCCGGTTCTTGGTAGTTGGGCTGGTGTGTCATTCTGGTACTCGTCTGCCCTGGACGCGCTATTAGGCTGAGCTGCTGTGTTTATCGAAGTAGAAGTTATCTTTATATCTGACAATCTATGTAGGGTAGTCATGTCTGCTCGATCTTGTCATTGAAAAATAACTCACTTATGTTGGTCATGTATCATCGGAGCGCCTTATCAATAGCTTCGTTGCGCAGGAAATTGCGCAATCGATTGGTCATGAGCCTTTCTACTTCTTTCTGAATTTGCCTTTGTTGGGGGTGGTAGAGCTCTCGGCTGCCCTGGTTTTGACCTGCTGGTCTAGGCTGCTCTTTCATATGCTCGGCTCATCTATGTTGTGGCAGGGTGCATGTGGTCCACTTCTGGCAAACGAGGGAATTCTTCTCATACTGCCGGTAGAACTTGAGCCAGATTGAATGATTGCTTTTCTCTGTCCATCGTGTTGCCTGCTCCGATGTTATGTGGAGTATACTCCTTGCGGGCCTAACCGCGAATGAATGCTTTACCTGGAAAGCTGCACATGTTGACTATTAGATTATGGCCTTAACCGTGAGTGTATACTTATCCTCGGGCCTAGTTCAGAGTGCACGCTCCTCCGCGCGCTAAGACGGGAGTATACGCTATCTCGGGGGCCTAATCGGGAATGCACACTGCATGAATGCTTGGCTCGTGGCTGCTTGTCTGGACACTGCTGGAAAGGTTTGTCTGCCCTTATCCTATTTCAGGACACTTCGTCCGGGGCACATTGGATCTCGATGCGTTGCAAAAGTTGATTCATCAAGGTCGTCTGTTGTGCAAGGGTGCTTGCCAACTCTATGACTTATCCAGACAAGTGTTGTTCACCATTTAGATTGGAAGAGCTGGAAAGAAATGTGCCTCATTGAGCAGTGGAAGTGTGGTAGGCTTCGGGCGCAAGATTTGAATTGGGAAATGTCAAATCCACGGAGAAACGTGGTGGAAATGCCCCCGGCTTGATGTTAGGTCCGGATGGTTGAGATAGTCTTGGGTTGACTTGGGCTACTTTGAAGGCCACAGGGGCAGGTTGGGCTGCGGGAATAGGCTGGGCCACGGGAGTGGGTTGTTCGACGGGAGCAGGCTGGGCTGCATAAGTAGGTTGGGCCACAAGAGTGGGCTGCTCGGCGGGAACAGGCTGGGCCACGAGAGTGGGCTGCTTGGCATGTGGTGCTTGCGAATACGAGATTTGGGCTTGGCTTGGCAACGCATTGGGCTCGTGTTGGGCATGAAGTGACATGACTCGGGCCGTGGCTTTAGTGGTGTGGGCCTTGGATAACACGGCTTGGGCAGTGGTGGTGGAGCCATAGACCTTGCCATGGGTGATTGCCGTGGTGGCCACCACGGTGGTTGCCATGGTGGAGCCTTGTGGTGGTGGTGCCGCTCCCCCTAAGATCGCATTTAGTCTCGTGGATCGCCGCAGTCTCTTTTCTTGAATATTGGAATTTTCACTTGTGGAATTTTCTAAATTTATAGCCATTGTATTTCTCTTTTACGTTTTATCAAAGAATCTTTGCAAATAAAAAATTCTAATAATAAGAACGTACGAAAAATACAAGTGGACTAGAAAATAGAGAAAATAGAGAAAAAAACCTTTTTGCACGAGAGTCTTCTATGAGTATGAATCTCAACTCTCAATGAAAGTACCAATTTGTGGATACAAATTTCCGCATTCTTCTTCTTGGACAAAATTGCACCTACAAAACAATTAACACCTTAGGTCAAGGCCAAGAGCCTCACGCGCCCACGATGAATTGGGGGGGGGACTTTAGTCGAAGAACCTCCGATGCCAAAGTTAGAATTTAGAGAGAAAAATATTTGGAAAGTTTTTGGGAGTTTTGCAAGAGTGTGAGAGGTCCCTTTTGGAGAAGAGAATGGGGCTTTTATAGGGGAGTGTGGCCGGCCTTTAAGTGTTTTTTGAGGTGTTATTTGGTGATTCAATTAGCAATTAATATATTAATTAGGTATAAATATATTAATTGACTAATTATCATAATAAAGGAAATGTTTTGGGAGGTTATGTAATGATTTCCTTGTAGAGGATATGGAGTAAAGATGGATGAGATAAATTTGAACTTGTTACCTATTTTGGGCACTCTTGACTCGGTTGATGGATGATTCTCCACTGCTCGCATGTAGGAAACCATGTGTGTCTCGAGGGCAATTTTGTCTTCTTCACCTAAAAATCCATGTGTTGCCTCTTGATTATTTTTGGCTCCACAGAATTCGTGAGGGTGAGTTATCCGTGCTGATCCTGAGGTGTTGCGGCAGCGGTAGTAGCATAAATCTAGGGTTTTCTTTCATTTTGTACTGTTTTTGAGCCTCTTCTGTTTAGACTCTTGGTGTTTTGTTTGGAAGGTCCATTTTTCCTTTGTGCACTTGGTTTGGGGCTTTGTTGTGTAAATTTTATGTTGGTAATGAGTGTAGAATGATCTATTACTCGACCAAAGTTTTGGTTTCACAAGAAATGAGTATCTATTACTCGCAGAGATCGATAACAATCACATTAATTTCGATGCCTTTTAGTACTAGTGAAATTAATCATAAGATTAATGAAACCAAAAGAAATAAAAGCTATAATTTGCCAAAAACATTTATGTAACAAGAATTCGGCTTACTCAAAGTTGGTGGAACACTTCCATTAATTCCCCATTCGCAGCCTTAAACTAAAGCCTTGCATGTTTCAACAGTCTCAAGTACAAAATTACAACTATGCTTAATTAAAATGATGTACGTGGAAGTCTTGTTTGAACCACTTATATTGTGTGCATTGCTTGTTTAATTTGATGAGTTCATAGAAAACACCAAAGAGCTCCACGAACCTTGGTACATCATTTTACTCATGTTGGCCTAAAATCCTCCCACGTAGCAAATTGATGTTCGGTGGCCTTTCAGCTGGCCTGAACGCAACATGCAACAAGCTCTGTGCATGCATAACAATCCCCACGTAGCAAATTGAAATTCGGTGGCCCTTCAGCTGGCCTAAACGCAACATGCAACAAGCTCTGTGCATGCATAACAATCCCCACGTAGCAAATTGATGTTCGGTGGCCTTTCAGCTTGCCTAAACGTGCGGCAAACATGCAACAAGCTATGTGCATGAATAACACCTAGCTCGCATTCAGTGCTTATAAAACGAACCCAAAACAACTGCAAAAACGCTCACACAGAAATTAACTGAAGCAGAAAAATGGGGAAGGCGAAGCAGTTAGCAAAGGTACTAGGATCACTAGAGGGTTTCACAACCAAAGAGAATTGGGACAGGTTCTTCATCGCCATCCAAGACGGCAACTATGCCTTCGAGTGGTACGAGGACTGGCCTGAGCTCCAAGGCCCACTGCTGTCCAATCTCCCAAAGCCCGAGTCCCAAACCCTACCGCTGCAATTACTCGTGCCCGGTTGCGGTACTTCCCACCTGTCTGAGCACCTCTATGATGCCGGATTTAAGGCCATCACCAACATTGACCTATCTGAGGTCGCCATTTCGGACATGCTGCGCCGCAATGCGCGTATACGCCCTGGTATGAAGTGGCAAGTCATGGACGTCACTGCCATGCAGGTACTACTATAATTAATCACAATCCATTAATCGACTCGAAACTGGAAGCAAATAAAGAGCTAGCGAGTTTGTCCTAATTAATTCAGTGCTAATTATTGTTTAATCATGGCTTAATTTCAATGCAGTTCGAGGATGAGAGCTTTGACGTTGTTGTTGATAAAGGCGGCTTAGATGCTTTGATGGACCCAGAGTTTGGCGTGCAGATGGGCAATCAATTTTTACAAGAGGTGTCCTGTAGAACTTCGTAATACTGTATTTGCATGGCGTCGCGTGTGTACGTATTTGCAGAGAGATTTTTAATGTACTTGCAAATCCGAACACAAGCTGGTGCACAACACGTTATAATATAACGTCATAGCATAAGACGTTTATAATATAACTTATTATATAATTGTAGAATATCACTTCATTTGTATTATGATACTTGATGTACCGTGCTACGAAGAACATCTCACATATGCATGCATGGCAATTAACATATATATTTCTCCTCACACAAAGTTTCCTATTTGGATGAAATGATCACCTGAACCGTTAATTTTTTTTTTCTCACTAAGTAATACTAATTAGTCTTGGGAACAGCCTCTCCATAAATGGGGGTAAGGCTAGCCGACATTCACCTCTTCCAGACCCTGCGTAAAGCGGGAGCCTTGTGCACTGGGTTCGACATTTTTTAAGTAATACTAATTAGTGGTTGGTTTCTCATAAAGATTTTTTTTTTCTTCCAGGTTAACAGGGTTCTAAAGTTTGGGGGCAAATTTATTTGCTTTACTTGGGCGTGGTCTGATGTTCTAGGTGCGTAATGTCAAGCTTTATAACTTCCTATTCATTCTTCATGGTGTAGGCAATTGAGTAAGGACACCTTGTTTAAGGAAACACCTAACATTTCACAATAGAGAGATTTTTCAATGTGCTCGAAACACGTAGTGGTATGCCACGTGTCCTTATACAAGTGGAGATATCTTGTGTTAAAAAGTAATAACATAAAAATAAAATTTATCACCACTTATATAATAACACGTGATGTACCATTTGTATAACGATCATATGGAAAAATTTCTCTTCACACATGTATATAAATCACGTGATGTACAATAGGAGAAAATTCGAGTTCTATAATATTTATTCTGAGTTGATATACAGCAAATGACCAATAATTTGAAAGAGGAAAATTAAACTAGATAGGTCCAACATTGTTTTTTAATTCGGAGGGTCCGACAATCAATAGAATTTACCAAACGTTATAAGAATCAAACTGAAGGTGTGGTTCACACATGTATATAAATCAAACTCGTCTGAACCAGTGTGGATGACCTTAGAACTTATTGTCGGAGTCGAACAATACCATGTTCCACTACTTACTCCCTTTGGATCAGTGCCAAAACTTTATACAAGGTCAATTGGGTCGGCAACATGTCACGTAGATGTACAAATTTTGCTTACTTAATCTGTCTATATCTTTGGAGATGCTCGTGTCTTGGATTACGGATAATATACATGTACGTATAGTGCTTGTCTATCACCTGCTATATACATATCTCCAGGTTCGCTTTTCTCCACCTTCCGCTTTGGTTGGAAAGTGGGCTTTCATGCCATTCCTCTGAACCTGTCTACCAAGCCTCAGGGCCATAACCTTCAAACCTTTATGATGGTGGCTGAAAAAGAGATCCCTACTGCTCTGCATCAAATTGCAATATCATCACTCAAAACTGCTTCTCATGAAAATCAGGTACAATATAATTATTTATTTTAATAAGGGTATATTTTTTATTTATAATATTTAGATGTCTTGATGTCTTAATTAATTTTTCTTAGACTTAAAAAAAAACACGTGACATCTTTGATTTAGCCAAAATAAAAAATTGACTATATAGGGTATTCATTAGTGAGTACGTATTATCTGTCTAAAAATGTGACTACCAGTAGAATTTGAGAAATCTTCAATACAGACATTATTTTTACACATCATTTTCTCCTTCTGCATACTCCTGATGATTTATGTTCATCTATTCTTCTTTAATCTATTTAATTTATTTAACCTAACGTCTACAAATAAGTACACTTGAAGAAAAAAACGTGTGGGGAAATTATTTCTCTAAAACTATTAGCATGACTTTCATTTTTTAACGTGAGATTCACTCACACTGTATATAGTATGTGGATTGATGACACAAAATAGTTTTATTTTTAAAATAAATTTTATTTTGGACCAATCATTATTTCTCATAAGCTTTGGTTTGTGATTTTAGGGCTGTAGCTTCCAGCTTGAAGCTTTTGAAACTGAGAACCGAATTCGTAGAGAATGCTCCACTTCTGTAACTACTGGTTCTGACGTGCTCTGCGCGCTTGAAGATCAATGGAGTGGCAGGGTCCGTAATTAAGTAGAATAATAAGGTGGATTTACCATCATGGATATGAATATATTTCCTCTATGTAATGAATAAGGTCTCTCTTTTATTTTGTGTGTTATGTGGTGGATGTACCATCAGAATTCCTTTGTTAAGGAGGAATAAAAAGTATATATATGCACTAGTTTTGTTTCTTATGTAATTTGTTGTTCTCTTTCCTTTATGAAACATAGTACTTCGATACGAGACTCACTGACTATAAATTGGCTCGAAACAGAGTTTGCCCTGGGTTCGGCTTATTCAAGTTCTACGCTTGAAAGAAACAAGCCAAGCTTAATTTAAGTTGTTTAAGAAACAAATCAAATTTAGGGCTGGTTTGGTATTATTGTGCTTTGAAAAAAACTGCTTCTACTGTGATGTGAGAATAAGCTTATTTTTTGCTACTTCACGTTTTCAGCTTTTTTTCATCCAAAATTGTGAAAATAAGTTGTTTTTAAGTGTGTATCAAACACATTTTTGAGCTCAACTTTTTTTGAAATTCACTTTCTATAAAAGCACCTCAGCACCAAACCAGTACTTAAATATTGATATCTTTGGTTATGCCTTTTCATTCAAACTAGGATTGGTCGTACAATCTTTGACACATCAAGATAAGTTAAAAGGAAAGAGATCATCTTCGGATCTCTTCCACCAAAGCTCGCGGATTAAGTGATCGGAGTCCTTGAAATTTGATCAAACGGCTAAAAACAGAGGGCCATTTTAAAAGTTATAATAACTTTAGTCATTGAATCAAATTTCAAAGACTCGGATCACTTTATCCGCTGACTTTGGTGGAAAAGATCAGGAGAGGATCTCTTTCCAATTTAAAATTAAATTTAAATGAATGTCACATAATGCCATTTGGGGGCACAATACTATTCATAAAGCCACTAAGTTCCTCCCTAAACTTGTATAATTGACGTCCGGTTTCTCTCTTAAACCTTTTATTAAGAAAAAAAAAATAAGTATGCCAGTACACCAACACACAACTCAAAAAATGGAAAAATAAAACTCATTGGCCATGTCAAAACTTGTATGATACGAGTTCATTGTCGTAAAAATAGAGAGCATATTCTTATATCATCGGCATAGACCACACAACTTAAGAATTCATCATTATGATGATATCCCATGACAATCACAAAACATGTGAAAAAAAATACACATATTCGTATAAAGTTCTACACTTATCATGTATTGTCCTTTATCCATACCTTAAAGGCTGGACTAGAACTTCCCCAAGTCATTGTCCCTGAATAGGCAAAAATAGTGGAGATTCACGAAGAAGTATTGCGCTATGTACCTATGAGTGGTATTATTGGATTGATCATTTGGTGGGAAATATTCTTCATTTTAGATATCATCATTTGTATGGCAAAAGCAAATAGGTTTCCATAATAATAAATCGATAGTAAGAATAGCATTACTTGCATGAACGATGCGTGTAATTTCTTATCCTACTATAGTACTACTCATCTATTTCGCTTCAACCAAATGACCTTTTTCCCTTTAGACCATCTCTGACACACCCCGACCGAGATCGAGGCATGTTGGCCGTCACGTGAGAGTGACGTAGCCATGTGCACAGTGCGGAAACGATAAGAATAAGAAATATACGAATAAATAAAAACCGAAAGCTACTAATGTGCACTAATAAGCAGAAAGTGTTAGGAGTGAGATACAAAGATAAATACTCCTAATCAGAGCATAGAAAGTCTAGGTGCAGTCCAGTAGGACAAGTACTAGTTATACAGTACCAGAAGATATCCTACAATTATATTATGTCAGAACCACCGAGATCGTCATACGCCACCAACAACAAGTCTACCTAAAACCTGGAGGGGTGAAAAACAGAAAACGTGAGTGGGCAAAAACAAAAGTTTTGAGACACATTTAACTTTCAAATGCTCTAACCCCTCGCCATAAAACATGTATAATTTTTCCTACAAATAGAATATAAACATATATATATATATATATATATATATATATATATATACAGTGGCGGAGCCAAGATCTTACATCACGGGGGGCCTTTCACAAATATGAAACTTTATTTTTTAATGCCTAAAATACGAGATAGATTGGTTGTATTTCGATTTATTTATCTAAACTCAGAAAAATATCATACCGCATCAACCATTAGGTTAATATGCAAGATAGAGGTAGATTATACTCATACCGCATCAACCATATAGTCACATAATCCAACTAATATTTAAGAGCAGATGGACTAGAAGTTCAAGCCAACAAAGAAAAATATTAGTCAACATTCTTAGAGTAAGTGATAAATCCTGACAATTAGATTCAATTACCACAGTCAAAAACTTCGACCTAAATTAATCTCGTCCCCCCAAAGATGACCGTGAAGTAATTAACAAGTTGAAGAAACTACATCATTATAACTAGAATAAGAGAATCCCAAATCCATGAATTTCAAGATTGCAACTAAATTTACCAGAAATAAAAGGAGGTTATGTTATATCTTATACATAGAAATGGGAAAAAAAAATTGCAGGATAGGCCCATGACTACGCTTGTCCTTTAGTGGCTCTGCCATTGTGTATATATATATATCAATTCAAATAATGCTTCACATATTCATAATTATAAGTATGCCATGCCAAGATATAAACAGAATAAGTAACTCAGGTGAAAATAAATTCGTGGAAAATAACATATTAGCCGGAACCCCTGCAGAAGTCTATACGGCTGAATTCATAGCTCATTAGTCAATCTAGCCGGAGTCACTACATGTGACCTATATGGCGCTACACTGCACACAAGTCGGAACCACTGAAAGGGTCTGTACGACAGGACTGTGTGTAATATAACTATACTCCTTACTACATTCTCATTATAACTGTGTGATAAATCGCTAGTCACCTACGAGTCGGAACCACATATAATGGTCTGTACGACAAGACTGTGCACTTAAATTGGATCAAATGTGAGCATATGGTGCGGGATGTGACATTATATACAGGCCTGTGCCATATCTCTGGCTAATCACTAACACCGGGTGCAAGTTTATGAGCTCAATGTTTCTCAATTAATCATAACCATTCAATACACATTCACAATTCATAAACTCACTTGGAACTTACCTGAGCGCCCACAACACTAAGTCACATTTATGCATACAATTTTAACTCATGGTTTAAGCATAAATCAATAGGCATGACATTTTCAAAGCATAACTCATTTAAATGCATTTTCTGGGAAAATATCAAGCATATACGTATATACTTAAAACCAAAAGCCCATTAACTGGTATGTCGAAGGGTCGTAGCCTCCGAATTGCCCTTGACTGCGCTCGTCCTCGGGATAAGTCTCTTCTATATGCGAAACAATTGACGACGTCAGAATATTCCGTCAACTTTGACGGAATATTCTATATTCTTCTTGACGGAATATTCTATCTTCTTCTCCGGTTAGCTTCGCCGGTTGTCGTCGCCGTTCACCGGAAACTATTTTGGGACCTAAAATTCACGGAAATTTACTGGGGAACCTTCGATAATCTGGTCAAACTTCAAATGCATCGATCTTGACTTCCCGACGTCCAAATCATGCCATTTTTCTTCTCCGAGCTTCGTGGAGAGGTCCTTAAGCTCCCTATAACCTTGAAATCTCCCAAAAACTCCACATCCACGTGCGCATGAACAATACCTCCATTCGGGGTTCTTGGTTCTCACAATCCCGAAGCTTCCACGTCCTAAAAATGGTATGGATGGGTTCGTGACGATGAGATGAAGATGATGATGGTGTCTACAAGCTCGATCTGTGAAGAAATGGGTGGTTTCGAAGGTTGTCCGTACAAGTTGTACTGAAGTGGAAGAAGATCTGAGAGATAGAGAAGGGAAAAGGTCAACGGGTGGTGTGTGTGTGTGAGTGTGTGGTCCAGTTTTGGGTCACTAATCACCACAAAAAATTACTAACTTTTAGTTCTAAAAACTTAGGAACTAACCCATTTAATTTAAACCCAAACTTAAACCACAACACCACATAAACATGCTCAATGTCCAAGGGCAATTTAGGCATTTCATGCCATCGATAACAATAATTCAGGGCGGGCTGTGACAATCTCCAACCCTTGGGTTAAAACCTAAAATTTGTAGCCCAAAAAATTTAGATTTTAACCCATAAATAGTTTTTCTCCTCAAACCCTTTTGGGTTAAATTTTTAGCCCGAGATTATTAAATAATGAATTTAAGATAATTTCCTTCTTAAAGTAACTTTAAAAAAAAAATTATGTAGATTATCCTAAGTTAATCTACAAATATTTAGATTCCAATAAATATTGAAAAATCACTAAATCAACACCATGAAACCCGTTGAACACTATGAAAGAATACGAAATACATAAAATAAATTTTTAATTACTTTAGCTGTTGGATTTAAATTTGGACAGTTAGATATTTTTTTTTATTGTTGAATTTGATCAAATTAGATCTTAACCGTTGGATTCAATTAATTTATAAATATAAAATTTAAAAAAAATACATATATAGTGGCCCAGCCCCACTAATCTAGGGGAATCCTGAGCTAAATTTGCCTTAGAAATGAGTTTTGAGTTTTAACTCATATTTGTCTAGGGATGGTTCGGTACGGGATCCCAAACTGAAAATGGGATCCCGAATTCCAAACCGAAAATTTTCGGGACGAGAATTTGAAGGCCAATCCCAAACCAAAAATTCAATATTCCCAATTTTCGGTATTTCAAGATGGTTTGGTATTCCCAAATTTCATACAAAATGAAATAGCAATCATACATACCAAATTAAATTAACATGCAACCAAAATAAAATAAGTAACAAACCCAAAAGCAAAAAAAAAAGTTACAAACCTAATATGTTTGAAAACTAACAATACAATTTTTTGATTTCGTGTTGAAGAATTAGACACATTTGTAGGAGGTTCGTACCAACAGATGTGGGGATAAGGGGCTATAGTTACTACATGTAGACCACACCAATTATATTGCTACTAGTAGTTAGCAACAATTCAAATGTATAATTATACATATATATATATATATATATGTATATATACATATATGTTATATATTATTTATTTTCGGTTTGATATGGGATTACCAAAAGATTGAGTAGACAATACCGAATCTCGTACCGAAATTTCAGGATCGATTTGGTA